ATGCCATCCATTTCCCTCCAAATTCTATGATTTTGTCATTAAAAATGTATATATTTTTAAATGGTGCAATATTTGCATATGACCTGTGCACATCCTTCCAGAGATACTTTAAAGATCTCTAGATTACTTATACTTAGTATAACTCCATATAGCATTTACATTATATTATGTTATGACAAAAAATAAAGGTTTGTGTGTTTAGTAGAGACAATTTCCAATATTTTCCCACCTGCATTTGGTCTCAATCCTCAGATACATAGGGCCAGCTGTACTCATTAAACATTAATTACCATGCCCCTCAGCCCTTGTCAATCAGCTTTCTACTTTCTACTGTCATGATTTTGACTACTCTAGATAATTCATATGGGTAGAATCATATAGTATTTGAATTTTGTGACTGGTTCATAGCATAATGTTCTCAATTCATTCATTTTATAGCATGTGGCAGAAATTCATCTTTTTAAAGCCTGCATGATCTATTGTATACATGTACCACATTTGGGCTACTTCTTCCTCTTGGCTATTGTGATTAATGCTGCTATGAACATGGAAGTATAACCATGGCTATCTTCTAGGTCTTGCTTTCAATATTTCTAATTATGTACCAAGAGGTAGAATTACTAATTAATGATTTTGGGCATCTTTTCATATACTTGTTAGCCATTTGTATATCTTCGGAGAATTTTTGCATCCTTTGCTCCACCCCCACCCCACCCCTTGTAGTGCTGGGTATCAAACCCAGGGTCTTGCACATGCTAGGCAAGCACTACACTACTGAGCCACAGCTTCAGCCCCTTTGTTGATTCTATTTAAAAAAAAATTTACAGCAAACAGTCCACCTGGTCAGATCAGGCATCAAGATTTACCCAACATCTGTGGGCTATGTTATGGATTTCAATATCAGTTTAGTTATGAAAGCCTTTTTCATATTATCCATATTTGTTCCTTAGTATACCATTCTGGGGTTGAGAAGATAGTCTGCCCCATATTTCAGTTTTCATAGCTTCAGTGTGCTATGAAAGGTCAAATCCATGAAAAAAATCTAGGGATGTTCATATAAAATTTTATGGGAGCCAGAGGAATAGCTAAATGGTGGAACATTTGACTTAAATGTGGAAGGTCCTCGTTTGAGCCTGGGCGGGGTGGGGGGCACTTTTTGGGGGTCACTTTATTCAGCTCTTTCCATGCTCCAAAAGTGGCTTTAGTGTCTCCACTCTGCAATACATTGCCTGTGACTGTATTCTTCTGGGACCAAGTAGAGAAAGGAGGAGGAGGAGGAGGAAGGAGATAAGTAACAAGGATCTCAATGGTGCTCTTTGTTTTTGGGACCACAGTTGTTTTAAAAAAGATTCTCTTGGGCTGAGGTTGTAGCTCAGTGATAGAGCACTTGCCTAGCACATGAGAGATACTGGGTTCCATCCTCAGCACTACATACACATAAATGAATAAAGGTATTGGGTCCATTTACAACTGAAAATATATATTTTTAAAATTGTTCTCCCTTATAGTTGATAGTTGTAGGTATCTTCCTAGCCACCATAGCTACTATAGGACTTCATGGGTGCAAGGATAGGAAAAAATGGAGGGGGGAGCAAACCAAAAAAGATGGGATTTCCCCACATTATCTAATCCAAAAGGGCTCCCTTGTTTGCAGACCAGAACTAAAAGGCCTGTTTTGGAACTTTTTGTTTTCACCAAGTAAGTTCAGGGTTTCTGGATGCCTGAAACCAGTCCAACATATATCAAATGGGAAGGAAAGCAAAAAACAGGACTGCTGATTCAGTAGCATTTTGATTTTCTTCTTCAGTTCACCTGTTAACATTTTACTTCCAAGTCTTGCATTCTGTCCAGGGTTGTGTTGCTTTGTTTTGAGGTTTTAGGACTCAGCTTCTTGAGTAGCTGTGACCGAAAACACATGTGATTGCACCTGGATCTGTCCCAGGGTTTTTAGTTTAGTAAAAGACCATGTATGTACTTCCATCTTGGCAAAACCTGAATGCACATTTACTTGTTCATTGTTAGTTAAAAAGTGTAGCTTAGTGGTGGAGTACTTGTCAAATCATTTCTCATCTAATAATACTGTTCAGATAGGTTTTTTCATTCTTAAGAGAAAGAAAGTAATTGCTTTGAACACTGTAAGACAGTTGGATGGATAATCAAGAAGCAAGAAAGGTGAAAGAAAACTAAAGAGGTCAATACAATGCTGCTTTACGTGAACATAAGAAAGGTTAAGAAAAATTGAAGATTTCAGCACATTGCTTTATCACGTTTCTGTGGGGACAATAAGTGTGCTTTTGTAAATAAAGTTTTATTGGAACCTAGCCACACCATTCATTTATATAATGTCTTTGGCTATTTTCTCCCTATAAGGGCAGAGCTGAGTAGTTTAAACATAGACTGTCAATTTTGCCTTGCAAAATTTACTCTCTAGCTTTTTACAGAAAGTTTGCTGGCTCCTGTTTTAGAGGAAGAGTTTTCACTGTCCTGCTTTCTGTTCATAGAAATAATGGGAAAGACAAGTGTTTTCTGCAATCAGCAGAGGCATTTTCTTTCTTTTTTTAATATTTATTTTTTAGTTTTAGGTGGACACAATATCTTTATTTTACATTTATGTGGTGTTGAGGATCGAACCCAGTGCCTATGCATGCTAGGCAAGCACTCTACCACTGAGCCACGACTCCAGCCTGACATTTTCAAAATTATATATCTATGATTAGAATGTCAGTCATCAAACTAGTTATGGTGGAAGGTGTCTTGTTTTGGTCACAAACCCACTGCAATGAATCATTAGACTATATTATAAACTGTTTTTACAATGATGTTTGGTAATTCTTGGTATCGTAAATTTTAAACAGTGGTTCAATAAATTATACTAATAGTTACAAAGCTGATTGAACAGGCATGATAATTTTGGAATGTGTTCATATAGGACCATAAAATACTGATTTGGTAATTGAAAATTATTATACACAATTCTTGGGTGCTTATAAAACAAAGAAATATGGATAAAATGCTTTCTGGTTTGAATTACTTTTTCTGTTTTTAAAGAGCACTTCTTCATATCATTGTTTCTTAGCTGGGGGTAATATGTTATCCATGAGACTTTTGGCAATATTCAGAGGCAATTTTTGTTATCAGAAATTGGGGAGTTGGGAGGCTGGGGTTGTGGCTCAGTTGCTAGAGTGCTTGCCTAGTATGCATTAGGTACTGTTCCGGCCCTGGCACCACTTTTTAAAAAAAAAAAATGAGGATATTGTGTTCATCTACAACATAGATAGATAAAACTGGGGGAGATAAGGATGCAGGGCACCTGTAATTCCAGCAACTTGAAAGACAGACAGGAGGATCACAAGTTCTAAGGCAGCCTCAGCAACTTTAGTGAGCAACTTAGTATCTCAAAGTAATAAAAAGGGCTGGAAGAGTGGCTCAGTGGTAAAGCATCCCTGGGTTAAATCCCCAGTACCAGATATTTTTTAATAGGTCCTAAGATGATGATAAGTGATCCCAAAGAAACAGATGTTCTTCATTAATAATGTAATGGATTGAATGATCTTAGTCACTGTGACTGAAAAGCAACACTTAAGTAGCATGTCAAATTTTTTTCCTTGAGGCATAAATAAAAATGGATTTTGGAGTGTTTATGAAGGACAGAAGACTTATCAGGTACCTGTTCAATAAAAGTTTAAATTACACCCCTTCACCCCACTTTTTTTTTTTAATGTAAAAAGGTATTGTTGGTATCCATGGGCATTGATTTTTAGAATGCTCCAGAATACCAAAGTCTACAGATCCTCAAGTTACTTTGTGTAAAATGGCATGGTATTTTCATAAAATCTGCTATTGGCACTTAAAAAAAAAAAAAAAGACCAAGCCAGAGATAATTTCAAGGATTGCCACAAAGTGGGAAGGTTGTATCTATCCCTAAGGTCTGGGTTGGTTTGTTCTCCCTCCCCCATTTTCCTCTTTCCTTCAGCCCTTGATTATTACTTTTTACATTGAAGCATTTTTTTTTTTTTTTTGTAGAATTGGAATACTTGCTGTGGGTCTTTACAAATAAGAAGTTCATATCTACTGTTAGACTTAAGCAGATTTTACTTTTTAAAATTCTGCCTCTGAGCTCCAACCCAGCCTTTTTGTTATTTTTATTTTGGGATAAGTCCTTGCTAAGTTGCCTCAAATTTTAGATCTTCCTGCCTCAACCTCCCTGATGGCTGGAGATTACATGCAAGTGCTTCTAGACTTGACTGGCTGTCAATTTGATGGCAAGAGATACTAGCTACACAGTATAGTATAAGAGTACCAGATTGCTCCATCATTTAGATTTTTAAATCTCTGCTTATTTGAAATATGTATATATGTCTTCCTGGGGATTGAACCCAGGAGTATACTATCGCTGAGCTGTGTATCCCCATCCCTTTTTATTTTTGAGGCAAAGGTCTCACTAAGTTGCTAAGGCTGGCTGAAATTTACCATCCTCTTGCCTCAACCTCCTAAGTAACTGGGATTACAGGCACATGCCACCGTACCTGGCATGCTTATTTTTAGTACTGACAATTGGAACCAGGGCTTTATGCATTCCAGGCAAACACTCTACCACTGAGCCATACCCTAACCCAGATGATGCTTTTTTAAAAAAATGTGAGTTTGAGGGGCTAGGGTTGTGGCTCAGTGGTATTACACTAGCCTTGCATGTATGAGGCACTGGGTTGGATTCTCAGCACTGTGTATGAATAAGTAAAATAAAGATTCATCAACAGCTAATGAATTTTTTTTTAATGTGAGTTTCACAAAATATCAGATTTTAACTTGAATTTCTTTAACCATAATGAGTTAGTGAATTCCTTGGTTTGTGAGCCTTTGAATTTCCTAAGTGGCTTATTCGCATTTTTGCTCATTTTTCTTTTAGCGATTTGTAGTCATAAAGAATAGGTCAAGTGGGAGAGCATTTATGAATAGGCAAGTACTGTTAACTAATCATATTTTTTGTTGTTAAATAATAGATCTGAATGGGATATACTTTTGAAGGATGTGCAATGTTCAATCATAAGTGTGACAAAAACTGACAAGCAGGAAGCTTATGTACTCAGGTAAGTTCCTATAGAACAGGTGTTAACTAGCCATTTTCGGTTCTAATCATAAATTTATGTGAAATATCATTGTTCCTCTCAGTCTCAGTTGTATGGTAATTTTCACCATGGTTGTAAGAATTTTATGGTATAAAATAAAGTTAGTAATCCTGGTGTTTCTAAGCAGATTTTGAAATTTAATAGCTCTTCAAGCTGGTTGCCATCTTTGCGTTGTAGTAATTATAAGTATCTTGACTAGTTTATATTGTGATGGGCCTTGGATTAAACAAGGTATGTAAGGTCTCTACTTATGTTTTGGAGTATTCAGGTATTTATCAGAATTACTTTTCTGTATCTATCTAGTAAAAAGAAATATTGGGATGGTTGCAGAAATAGGATGTGAGAATAAGTAATGCAAGATATGTATTTAGCAAATAAGTTTAAATAATTTAGGCATATACTAGTGACAGTTTTTAGACTGCTGTTTATAGTTAGCCATCTGGAGCCAGATGAGAGATGAGCAAGCCAGGCATGGTGGTACGGGCCTGTAATCTCAGTGGCTCAGGACGCACGGAGACAGGAGGATCACAAATTCAAGGCCAACCTCAGTAACTTATCCAGGCCCAAAGCAATTTAATGAGACCCTGTCTCAAGCTGGCCACAGTGGCATATGCCTGTAATCCCAGTGTAATGGGAGGCTGAAGCAGAAGGACTATGAGTTCAAAGCTAGTCTCAGAAATGGTGAGGCACTAAGCAACTCAATGAGACCCTGTCTCTAAATAAAATACAAAAAGGGCTGGGGCTCAGTGGCAGAACACTCGCCTAGCGGGTGTGAGGCCCTGGTTTTGATCCTCAGCGTCACATTAAAAAAATAAAGGTATTGTGTACAACTAAAAAATAATATTTTTTTAAAGAGAGAGGTGCTGAGCATGTGGCTCAGTGGTCAAGTGCCAGAGCTCAATCCTCAGTACCAAAAAAAAAGGGGGAGAGACCCTCTCTCAAATTATAAAACCAAAAAAGGGCTAGAGAATATAGCTCAGTAGTAGTGCCCAGATTAAATTGGGGGGAAGTGGGGAAGAAAGCAAGAATGGATCCTATCCCAAAAAGATGTAGAAAGATCTTTCATTCTTAGATGCTAGTGTTCCTAGGATACTTATGAGAAGAGGAAGGTTGCTATGAATAATGAGCTAATTCAGTGAAGATTCTAGAATCTTAAACTGTTTTGTTGTTGTTGTTTTAATAACAGAAGGAAAGACTTCTCTTCTGTAGTACATTATTTGCTTCCTTTGAATACTGACATTTTAATGTACTAGCCAAAAATCAGAAATGATGATGTAGTAATAGGTTAATTATATCATCAGTAGTACATAAAAATCTCATAATGATCCTTTGACTTTTTTCAACTACAGTGAGAGTAGCATGTTTGTCTCCAAGAGACGTTTCATTTTGAAGACATGTGGTACCACCCTCTTGCTGAAAGCACTGGTTCCCCTGTTGAAGCTTGCTAGGGATTACAGTGGGTTTGACTCAATTCAAGTAAGTATTCGGAAACATTATTTAAGCCTTAAAATAGAGACTATACTAGTGTCACTTCATTAGCTAATTTGTTGCTTCAAAAAGTACATTGAAGAAAATATTTTTTTTAAAGAGTGTGAATTTTGCTGACTTTTGATTTGCAAAATAGTTGAATTATTTCAGAAGTTCTTAGTATCCATCTGTGTCCTCTCTTTTTTTCCCCCCAAGAGCTTCTTTTATTCTCGTAAGAATTTCATGAAGCCTTCTCATCAAGGATACCCACACCGGAATTTCCAGGAAGAAATAGAATTTCTTAATGCAATTTTCCCAAGTAAGTTCAAATAGAATTTAAACACTTTTCCTATTGAACTTAGAGGGTGTAACCTTTCAAAGATTCTTTTTTCTTTTAATATATATGAGAGGATGTACATATAGTCCTGTATACATACTCTTCATTATTTCTTAGAAATGTAACATACTTGGATGTTTTATCTCTACAATAGTGTTTGGGGTTTTTTTGTTGTTATTGTTTTTGTTTGATTGGTTGGTTGGTTGGGTTTTGTTTGTTTTTAATCTGAGATAGGATCTCACTAAGTCATCAGAGTGGCCTTAAACTTGGGTCCTCTTGCCTGATATACAGCTAATGGTGACCTTTATAATAGCTTATATTATTGAAAATATGCAGAATTTGCCAGACGTGGTTGTACATTCCTGAAATCCTGGTGACTGGGAAGGCTGAGGGAGGAGGATCACGAGTTCAAAGCCAGCTTCAGCAACTTAGGGGAGATCCTTTCTCAAAAAAATAAGAAAAAAGAGCTGGGGATATGGCTCAGTGGTTGAATGCCCTGGGGTTAAATCCTTGCTACCAAAAATATATATGTATATGCAGAACTTATAGAGAGTAAAAATATCAGATATGAGTTAGTAGATAACTTATTTCAAATTTTATGTTGTGTGTGTGCTCTTGTAAAAATTAACTGCATCTCAAATCAGTGCTGTTGAAACAGCAGAATAAGGAAACCATGGAAGCTTTGACACTGGCATGTGCCTGTAATTTCAGTCACTAAGGAAACTGAGGCAAGAAGATTAGTTTAGCCCAGGAGTTCAAGATCAGCCTGGGAAATACAAATACAGCAAGACTTTCTCTCTTATAATAAAAAAGAAAGAAAATCATGGAATTGAATGCCTATTTCCTGGTTTCTTAAGTTTTTCTAATTGGTTACCTAATTCTAGTACCCTGACTTGCTAAGTGAGACTGAAAACCTAGGATAATTTGATAACTTCACATAGTCCCCCAGAGGCATGATTATTAAAAAGAAAATAAGAGATCTGAGAATGTATCTTCTTAGTAACCTATCACATCTAATAGGAAACACTATTAGGCTATATCAGAGAGTGGTAGGTATTTAGTGCAAATAGCTTGTAAAGGCTGATTATTGTTTGTATTTAGTTGGGAAAGTAGATAACTGGTGACCAAATTCCATTTTCTGTAGGAGTTTAAGGGGAAGGTAAGCATAGTTAACTATTTAAACCAACTCATTAGCCAAAGTGTACTTTGTTCAAAGACAGAAAAAATGTGTTTGGGGTATTTTATTTCTTTTTTTAAGGATAGGATGTGATGGGGTATGCAATCCTGTCTATCTTGGAATCTATCTACTTCAATTACTCTTTTTGATGAAATTTCTTATAGGTGGCAAATAATATAATCTCACTTGTTAGATAGGTGATAATAAGCTATCATGTTAAAATGGGTTTATTTACATTCTCTTCTCTCAACAGATGGAGCAGCATATTGTATGGGACGTATGAATTCTGACTGTTGGTATGTTTGATAAAATGTTGTGGATTTTTTTTTGTTGTCCATATAAGATTTATTTTAAACTACCACTCTACCACTTGCTGTTTTTAGGAACTATATTTTACTTTCATACAGGTACTTGTATACTCTGGATTTCCCAGAGAGTCGGGTAATAAGTCAGCCAGATCAAACCCTGGAAATTTTGATGAGTGAGCTTGACCCAGCAGTTATGGACCAGTTCTACATGAAAGATGGTGTTACTGCAAAGGATGTCACTCGTGTAAGCATTTTTAATAAAAATTGTTGCTAGATTGTTCTGCTCTAATGCTGCATTTTTTATTTATCTCATTCTCTGTTTATTTTTCAATTTTATATTTAATTTGGTCTTTTCCAGGAGAGTGGAATTTGTGACCTGATACCAGGTTCTGTCATTGATGCCACACTGTTCAATCCTTGTGGGTATTCAATGAATGGAATGAAATCGGATGTAAGTAAATTACATCTTGCTATCTTGCTTCAATAATTATATTAAAATATTTTCCATTACTAATGCAAAGCTGTTTTCTCTAAGGGAACTTATTGGACTATTCACATCACTCCAGAACCAGAATTTTCTTATGTTAGCTTTGAAACAAACTTAAGTCAGACCTCTTATGATGACCTGATCAGGAAAGTTGTGGAAGTCTTCAAGCCAGGAAAATTTGTGACCACCTTGTTTGTTAATCAGGTAATTTGATTTCTTGTTGACAATAAATGTTTAAAAGGAAATGAAGATAATGAGGCCTATTTTAAGATGTATTCTAAGATGGCACACATATTTAGTCACTCAGATATCCAGAGGTACTACTAGTAGATCAGAAGCTTGTATTTCATTACCGAATTGATGGGTTCCTCCCATCATGTTTATTTTCCTTATTGACAGGCCTAGTGGGGGACCATAAAATGTTCCATGCCCCCAAGCCCATTAGAAGAAAGGTAAACTAAATAAAATGCCAGTATCATTAAGATAGAAGGATATTTATTGCATAACTATTTTGTTTCAAAATACCTACAGATTGGAGGCACTGATGATTATTTCAATTTTCCCCCCAGAGTTCTAAATGTCGCACAGTGCTGTCATCACCCCAGAAGATGGAAGGTTTTAAACGTCTTGATTGCCAGAGTGCTATGTTCAATGATTACAATTTCGTTTTTACCAGTTTTGCCAAGAAGCAGCAACAACAGCAGAGTTGATTAAGAAAAATGAAGAAAAAACGCAAAAAGAGAACAAACATAGAAGGTGGTGGCTGCTTTATAGATGATGATACTGGGGGCCATGCTTTCCATAACCACCACCTTGTAGTTGCAGAAAGCCCTAGATGTAATGATAATGATAGTGTAATCATTTTGAAGTGTATGCATTATTATATCAAGGAGTTAGATATCTTGCATGAATGCTCTCTTCTGTGTTTAGATATTCTATGCCACTCTTGCTGTGAAATTGAAGTGCATGTAGAAAAAAACTTTTACTGTATGAAACTTTACAACACTTGTGAAAACAATTCAATTTGGTTTATGCACAGTGTAATATTTCTGCAGGTATCGTCCAAAATTCCCCACAGACAAGGCTTTCGTCCTCATTAGGTGTTGGCCTCAGCCTAACCATCTGGGACTGTTCTATTATATTGCTGCCAGAATTTTACATCCAATTACCTCCACTTTCTAGAACATATTCTCTACTAATGTTATTGAATCCAGTTTCTACTTCATACAGATGTTTTTTGCAACAGCAATTAAATTTTTCTTTCACAAGACAAGTCCTTAAAATGATTCCAGTTACTCATTTTGTGTATTTACTATTTTAATAATTGTTTCTGCATTTGTAGTCTTTTGATTTTTTTTTTTTTCCCCTCAACCTGGTGTCTTCCCCTCTAGCCCCACAAATGAAGCAATAAACTTACACTGTGGGTTTATATACTAATCTTATATCCCAGGTGAGGAAAAGTCTCCGGGTTTAATTTTCTTTTAAGGGCATATTAATTTGGCCTCCTTTTTAATGGCATGGGCTCTTTTGGAAGGTAAGTGACAAAATTAAATATTTCTCACAAAAGAATTTTAAGCATCTCCAATATTGACTGGCAAGAAGGACATGTAGAGTTATAGATTTGGGTATGCTAACTAAACTGTACACCCCCTGTTATGCTATGCTCTTTGATAAATGAGATTAGCTTCAAACAGAGTACCATGCCTTTACTAACTTGCTAAGTAGTGATCTAAAAGGATTTTTATCACTAAGTAGATAAGTAGGGAGATTTAGTATATAGGTTGTCTTGGATTCATTAAATCCTGTCAACTTGGATCATCCACCTTAACTTTTACTTTTAGTAGTCATTGCCACTAATTTCCTTTAATAGTGTATTATAAACTTTGGTTCAAAGCAGATCAGTGGTTTTCCATCTTAAGACTTAAAAGTTATGTGATTGATTAACTTGTTCTGACTTCATCTGTTCCCTTAATATCTTCCTCCTTCCATGGTATTCACAAGATAAAATGAATAACTGCCCAGAATGAAAATTGTACATGTTATTCAGATATTCCCATGTGTAGCAGAATGTATGGATGGATTTTTTTAAATTAAAATTTAAAAATATTCATTGAGAAATGACAAGTAATACAGGCTTTCAAGAGTTGTGATCTTTTATCTATATTTGCAAATACTATGGTATTTAAGCAACTGAGAACAGCAAAATTGACTATTTTGTATTTCTTGAACTCAATATTTTCTTGATAATTTCTGGATTGATGCAGTGATGCTTTGTTCCTTCCGTAGTTATAAACGAAAAGCATTTTTTCAGTGTTTCTCAACAAAATCTGCTTGGTTTGAAATCAAGTGGTTGGAACACTGTTTTGACTTATATCTCAAGCATGCTGTTGATCGAATGTTTCATTGAGGAAGCTTTCAATCAACTCGATCTGTTTAATTCCTAATGAGCACAGCACGTAATGTTTTGACTTGCTCTGTTGTGAGAACCTATACTCAAGGGTGGATTTTTGTTTTGGAGCAGTATCAGTGGATTGGTAATGTTTGTTGGCTTTGAGGTCTAATTTTTATTTAAAATTTTTTTTTCTTTCCCCTAATAGTCTTAAGACTTCTAATGTTGAAAACTTGGCACAAATTTGTGTGGAACAAAGCCTTTTAAAAATGAAAACTGTAGATTGAATAGGATCTATCCTAGTGTGATAGAAGAGGGAAAATTTTGGTGCCATAATTTCTCTCTTCATTAGTGTTGACTTAAATCAGTTGAAATGTATATCTGTATCACAATTTAAGCTTCAATAAAAGTTTGCTTACTTAATTGTCTAGTGATATAAAGAAAGTTTTCTGTTGATCTGTTTTATGTCTACTTGACCAAATACTATGGACCTTTTATAGTTTAGGCTTTTAAACCATGGGGTATAGAGGATATCATTTATTGTTAAACTAGAGAAGATTTATAAGCTTGATCGTTTTTTCATGGAGGTATATTTTGTGTTTTGTTCTGTTTGTTTAGTGGTGTTATTGGGGATCAAACCCAGGGCCACATACTCTAGGCAAGCACTCTACCACTGAGCTACACCCCCAACCCCTCTCATTTTCTTGAATTGAGAAAATTTCATTTCTAATTTCCTGTCTCTAATTAGCTGAAAATAGTTTTATGAAAATTTATATATTCTGATCTTTCTCGGAATAAACTTAATGGAAAGGAAATTTTGCTAAGTATTTTCTAATTTAAGAATGAAAACAAACCAGGCTTGGTAGAGTACCTATAGATCTATCTGGAAAGGTGAATCAGGAGGCTTACTTGAGTTCAGGGCCAGCCTAGACAAAATAGCTTGAACCCTGTATCTTAGCAAAATACTACATTTGTGTGCAGTACCTGTTTAACCAGGTAAGTGAATTTTTATACTCAACAAGCAGCGTTGTTTTTAAAAAGAGGTTCCTGTGTTTCTATCACAAGTACATATATGGAAATATTCTTACAGACAAATTAACTACCACCAGTTTAATTTCTGGCTTCACCACCACCACCACCACTACCAAACTTGTTGTTTTCATCCATCTTTTTCTTACTGTGAAAATGGAAGAGGATTCTTCTCATTTGAATTTCATTTCTTCCTGCCTTCAAAGTCTGTTTGATGAATTCTTCATATTTCTGTCTCTGATATTGAGACATAAATATGAAGAATTTAACACTGACCAACATAATATTCTGCAGATATTATGTTGGTCAGTGTTAAAACATTTCCATTAGTTTTACTTCCCCAATCCCCCTACACCTTCCTTTACTTAAATTTTCCCTTGTTTAATCATTACTAAGGTAATATATGATAAATCTTTTATACCCAAAAATGGAGATGTAAAAACTTTCCAAAGTTCTGCTGATGTACAATATTGAGGGCGGGAAGAGAGTCAAGGTGTGGTGGGCACAGATAATATCAATGACTTGAGAGGTTGAGGCAGGAGGTCACAAATTGAAGATCATCTTTATAGACACTTGTACCAAAAAATAAAAAAGGAATGGGGATATAGCTGAGTGATAAAGTGCCCATGGGTTCGATCCTGTTTGGGGCTCAGTAGGACCTGAACTCAAACTAACAAATGTTTACCGGTTTCTTCTTGGAGGATACTGAAAAACCTATGAATATGATGAACTTGATGCAAAGTCAAAGTTAGAGGTCTTTGACTTTTAGATGACAACTAAACTATTACAGGCACTTGTCAATGGATTTCTAGTACCCTGTTATTTGTCCTCAGGAGTCAAAATTAGATTGAGATTTGTAACATCTTTTATGGAATGTGTGTGTGTGTGGTTTGGTTTTGGGGTTTTGAGGGAGGTGTTTTTGGTTTTGGCAGTATGGGGGTATTCTACCACTACGCTACATCCTTTTACCTTTTAGTTTTTATAATTTGAGACATGGCATCACTAGGTTATCCAGGCTGGCTTTAAAGATAAAAAGTAAACAGAACAGCAGTGATCCATTATATGCCAACATACTTTGTCATCATCCATCAATTCACTACATGCTCTAGATAAAATTTGTTTCAATTGACATAAAAATGGTAACTAAGATTTTGGTAAAAGGATATATCTTTTACCTCGCATCCTCTCAGGACAAGATGATATCCAATAGTCCCTTCCTAGGCAATTGAACACTATTAATTTCTTCACCCCTCACTCTATTAACTACTTCCTACTTTTATATCAAAGATTCATGTTGCCTTTTTAAATTTTTCTTGGTACTTTGTATAATGCTTTACCTCAGCAAAAAAAATTGATGTTCAAACAACTCTTATCTGCTGAGTAATAAGTATTTCATTGTATGAATACACTCATGATTTGTTTCTTTTCCTTTTAGTAGATATTATTGCTTTCCAGCAAATATGAGTAAAGCTGCTATGAACATTAGCCCAAAATTTTTTTTTGTGGCTTCCATATGGGTAATGGTATCAATGTGATTTTCACCTACTTTCCTCTAATGATCATTTCTTTAATGTATCTTTGAATTTTAAGTGTTACACATTTTAATACAGTTGGCTGTGTTTATGACTCAGTTGTAGGTGTTCTTTATTTTGGATATAAGTTGCGTTCAGTTATTCTGCAAATATTTTTCCACTGTGTCTTGTCTTGTCTTTGTTCCTTATAGTATCTTAATGAGAAGTTATTTTTAATAGTCCTAATTTATCAATTTTGTAAATGAACCTTTTCTTTTTAAATAAATTTGCCTACCCCCAGATGTGGTAAAGGTGTTTGTTTCCTCATGATGTTGTAGTTCAAGCTTTTATATCTAGGTCTATGATCAATCACGAATGAAATTTGTATGTAGTAGTAAATAGTGTTCGATTTCTCCCAAGTTATTCTAGCATCATTTGTTGAAATGACATTTTCATTCTCACTGAGCTACTTAGGCAACTTTGTAAAATTTCTGTTAACCATGTAAGAATAATATGTTTCTGGAATATATTTTCATTCATCAATCCACTATATCTATGTGCCAATATCACTGATTTCTAAGTTTTTTATAACTCTTAAGTCAGGTGGTCTATTTTTCTTCTTTGTCAAGATTCCTTTGTTTATTATATTTCTGTGTAAATATTAAAATAAGTCTACCAATTTGTATTCTAAAAAGCCTGGTGTGATTATGGTTAGTATTAGTTGAATCTATAGGTCAGTATATGGAAAACTGTTAATACTGAATCCTTCTAATCCATGATACTATGTATATCTCAAATTATTTTTTTTTAAATATCTTTTTTTTTTTAAAGAGAAAGGAGAGAGAATTTTTTAATATTTATTTTATTTAGTTCTCGGCGGACACAACATCTTTGGTATGTGGTGCTGAGGATCGAACCTGGGCCGCACGCATGCCAGGCGAGTGGGCTACGACTTGAGCCACATCCCCAGCCCCTAAAATATCTTTATTTTTATGTGGTGCTGAGGCTCAAACCCAGTACCTCACGTGTGCAAGGTAAGCATTCTACCACCGAGCTGCAGCCCAAGACCCTCTCAAGTTATTTTAAGTCATTTTCCTCGATACTTTTTGTTTCTTTTTTCCTCATCAACTTAATGAGACTCTATGTCAAAATAAAGAAGAAGGACTGGGTAGCTCAGCACCATCTCTAGTTCCCAAAAGAAAAAGACAGGGTCCTGATAAGTTGCTGAGGCTGGCTTTACAGGACCCCATCTTGGAATTTAAAAGGGGCAGGGGGTGTTGCTCAGTGATTGTGTCCCTGCTTTGCTCCCCTGTGCCAAAGGGAGAAGGACTGAAATAGACCCCCAAACACAGGGTACATAGAGGTTACTTCTGAGCCACAACCCCAGCGCCCCTGCCCCCGCCATCTGGTTTTAGTTAATAGTTTGAATTCTTCCTTTTTTGTAGCACATCTGCTTCTGGTGGCTTCAGCCTATAGCTTTAGCATTTTAATGGTAAAGGATGTTGATGAAAACCCTCAAAACCTGCAAAATAAATTGAATAAAATCAACCCAATTCTGTGCCTTTCCATAGATTATATATGCACATATAGTTATGTATAAAATCGCATATAGCAACATTAAAAGTTAGGGTACTGGTTAGGTATTGTGTTCATACATACTACTAAGTACATCCACTTTTGAATATTCAGTTAAAAATAATGGGTATAGTGGACCACTCTGTAATCCTTGCTACTCTTAAGGTGGAGGCAGGATCACAGGTTTTTGGGTTTTGGTACTGGGTATAGAACCCAGGGGAGCTTAACCACTGAGCCATATATCCCCAAGCCCAGCTTTATATTTTCTTCAGGAGAGGATCTTACTGAGTTTCTTAGGGCCTCTATAAGTTGCTGAGACTGGCCTTATTTTTTTTTAAACATAGAATTTTTAATACTTATTAAGTTTTCAGCAGACACAACATCTTTGTGGTGCTGAGGATCGAACCTGGACCACATGCATGCCAGTAGAGCGTGCTACCGCTTGAGCCACATACCCAGCCCGAGTCTGGCTTAAACTCTAAAGCCTCCAGAGGCAAGAGGATTGCAAGTAAAAGCCAGCCCAGTGACTTAGAAAGATCCTGTCTCAAATAAGTGTGCTGGGGATATAGCTCAGTGGTAGAATATCTGTGTAATGTGTACAAGGCCCTGCATTCAGTCCCCAGTACAACAACAAAAGATCTTATCTAGGACTCAGGAGTATTGGCTAGTGGCATCTTACAGTTCAGTCCCTTTCTAGAATTTGTTCTCAGCAAAAGATTTCCATATAGTTTCAAGTACTTGTAGTAATTTGTGTTTGTACTTGTGGTAGTTGTATTATTTTTTATTCTGGGGATCAAACCCAGGGGCACTTTACCACTGAGCTACATTCCCCATCCCTTTTTATTTTTGACTTGGGGTTTTGCTAAGTTGCTTAGAGGCTTGCCTTGAATTTGGTAATTCTGCCTCAGCCTCCCAAGCTGCTGGGATTACAGGCGTGTGACACCGCACCTGGCTGGTTCTGGGGTCTTAGCCTAGAGATGCTACTACAATGGGGAGTCTTACGTTGCAGGATGTTTATCAGCCCTGTAGTCCTGGAATTTAATATAAATTGAGGTCAGAGAAACCGGATGGAATTAGGTCAATGATTGGGTCAGTTTTTAGAGTTTAACATACTAAAATCCACGTGAAATTTAAAAGTATGGCAACACCCGCTTTGAACAATATTGATTTCTTGAATCTGAAGTGTTGTAGATTATCTCATGTAAAAGTAATTTGTAGGGCCTGGGGATGTGGCCCAGTGGAGTTACTATATATATATATATTTTTTTTTTTTTGTAAAGTACACAATGAATTATTAATGGTATTTCT